GATGGAGAACAGTACAGGACAAAGTATGAAATATATATATATATATATATATATATATATATATATAATATAGAAGAAGAAAACATTACAAAATGAAATATAACAAGCCACAAAAAGTGTATAATTTTATTAGGAGTATGAGGTAAATAATTAGAACCACCAAAGATAACATTATATTACAAGAATATGATAATGTAAGTGTACTGGCTGGAGAAATCAGACCTCACCAGACTGGCCCTCACTGTGCTCTCACTAAGCTTCAGTCCGGCGATTATTAAATGAATCAGAGAAAAAAACAGGAAATTACATTATATTCACCTATAAACTCAGCTGCTCAGGATCAGAGATCAGTAGAGAAGAGCGGAGTATATGTCCATAAGATATGCATAAGTAGAATGAACCAAAATAAATGTGCATGTTTCTGGACACACACGTGCATTCTCAAATCTACTGCAATTACATTTCTCACAAGACAATCACAAGACATAAAAAAACAAAAAACAAAAACCACCAACAGCTTTTCTGAAAGACTGTGTTTCTTTCCGTTGGGACAGTCCCAGTTTCAGGGGCTCATTGCCCATGTTCACTGGTGCCCCCCATCTGAGGACACCAGGGAATTGTCCTCAGTAGGTGCAGTATTTTGGGGGCATTAAACTTCTGCTCAATGAGTTTTAGAAATGACCTGCCATGGACAGCCCTTAGTACAATAACCAAATTCAGATGAAGAAATGTACTTGTCTGTACATGGCTGGATCTTACATGTGATGTATCACAAGTTTAGCACCAAATTTATTGTTTATTATTACAAAATGACAATTTATGAAGCTTTATATAACGATTTGGATTTTTTTTTTTCTTTTATTATGTCTTTAAAATATATTGGGCTTTAGGTTATTTAACATTTTACTGTCTCTTTTATCACCAACATGTGCCAAAATGAAAATGTATCAATGCAGAGCTATGGGCAATAAAGATTTATTTCTATAATTGTCCCATCAAGGTGTTTAAAAACAAAACACAATAAATGAAATCTACTGACTGCAGTAGAAATTACACTACAGTCTAAAAGATCAGCAGAATGAATTTAATGCTTATTTACAGTAAGCTCGACTAATTTAAAGTGTATCTGTCATCCAAAAATTCACATCTTGCCACATTATAAAAAATACAATGTAACTGATAAATACTGCCAGTCAAAATGCCAGTAAATATGTAGACAGCAGGTATTTTTCGCAGAAACTGGAATTTTGGAGAATTAATATGTGAATTACACATTTATGGTCAAAATCACCCAATATATAAAAGTATCTGTTTTTTTTTTTTTTACAGCTTGGTTATTTATTTATTTTTACTTTTCCACATTTTCCAGTTTAGTGAACATACCTTCACTGTGTTAGTTTATGTTAACAACAGCTGCATGTATCCCTTATAAAAAAAAAAATCTAAAATAAAAATCAGTTAATACCATACAATGGAGAGCAAATGCCTTTGTGAACTCCCAGAAATCCCAGTTTGATCCCACAATGCAATACAGTGGCTATGCACTATAATTTAGCCAAATGCATTGTTAGTGCTCACTGGTGTAAATGTAGACACTACTATTTAGTTAGTAAAATATTTATGTTTTGTTTTAACTTTTTACTTGAGGTAGATTTTATGAAACACACATTCCTTGTTAAAAGGTACACGTTATACTCTAAGGCAGTGGTTCCCAACCTAATTCTCAAGAACCCCTAGCAGTCTAGGTTTTAGGGATTATCCTGTTATGTCTAAGGTGTTTTTAGGAAAAAAACTAAACACTTTAGACACAATAGGGTAATCCCTAAATCCTGTACTGGTAGGGGGTACTGGAGGACTGGGTTGGGAACCCCTGTTCTGAGGTATGGCTGATGTGCTTTATTACATAATATTAGGGTTAGAATTAGGGTTAGTAATAGGATTACAATCATGTGTGTGCAGAACTTTAGATTAGAGAATGCACCCAGAGAAAAATACCATCCAAACCTTATTTTACAATACTAATTTTAAAGGTACAAAATACATTTTGCTCTTGTGACAGTTTCCCAAAAAAATACAACAAACTAACAAAAGTGTCCAAAGAGAAGACGGGAGGGAAAAAGTGGTACTGCATTAGGGTGTGCAATGCACACGCAGCACTCCTGTTAATTAGAATCAGAATTAGGGTTAGAAAAAGGGTTAAAATCTTATATGTATTGGTTTTAGACAGGATAAAAAAAAAATCAAAACATTAGGAAGTGAGCACATATTTTAACACCTTAAGGACTAAGCAAGTTCTACACATTGTGATCAAAACAAAACTTAAACAAAAAATGGAATTTGCACTATATGTCTGTTCAAGCATAATTCACCTTTTTCATATTAGGTGCACCAACACTTATTACACCCCAACTACCTCTTCATGGTTCCCAAATCACCGAAGGCACCTACCGGGCTACTCGGGACATCATAGTTGCATTCCAAAACAGAATAGACAAATCAGCAGTACTGGTAACCCCTACAATTCGAAAACAGGGCACTGAGTTTCTATGCCGACCTCTCCAATGGCACTCTGGTATGGAGACATTCCCTAAAACCACTTATCACCCTTCTCCGCCAATAAGGCCTCAGATACCGCTGGAGACCGTCCCACACTCTAACCATCCAGCAGGGACCGATCTCACACCAGATACGGGAAATATGCGACGCAGCACCGCTCCTGCACTCACTGGGCCTACCTATGGACTCCCTCAACCAAACGGGCCAGAAGAGCCCGGCATCCCCGCAGCACAGGTGGGACCTGACAAAAACTGTCGCGTTCGTACCGCAAGGACTCACACCCGACCCATACGTTGCTGTTACCACCTGAACTGGGCCAGGTGCCAGATCGTCAAACTTGCTGCGCACCTGCGGGTACTGTCATAGCCCCGGACATTTCCTACACTCTAACCCCAACGATGGTGGCTCATTCTACTGCAGTTTACTAACCACTTTTCTTGTCCCTTAACGCAAAGGTAACCTAACTAATCACGTCACAGAGTAGGTGACACACACACCTCTCAGGGCTATCACACTCGGGCAGAACCCCCATTGACACCCACCCCCCTTTATCGCCTAGTCGCAGCCTCACTTAATTTACTACACATAACACACATGTATATGTTTAATGTCGGTGTTACACTCGCTTAAATTAATGGCACCCATACGCAGGCTAACCCCCGACCTGGAATCTACTTAGACATATCCACACAAAGATAGATGTTAGTGTTCTTGCCCTTTTTTTTTTCCTCTTCTCTGTTTGAACGCAGGCCTCGCTGCCAGTGCACCCAGGGATTTTTTTTTTTCTATTTTTATTTCCTCTTTCTCTTCATAATAGACACGCACAGTACACACACTTTCACCATAACTGTTAAGCGAATGATATAGTCTAGCAAGCAATATGAGACTCTCATCTTTGCATGTATCAACTCGATATAAGCTCACACATCAGAACCGCTAAGCTGTCAACACTGCATGACAGGCACCAGGTCCCTAGGATCTCTATTGGCCCACCATAAATATACACAGCGCATATAACCCACATTCTACTGTTTAGATATTAATACTATTTACCAAGCACCAGGTTATCTTTGCCTCCACCAACCCACCAAAAGCACATACCTATCAATATTACCGCCAAGCCCAAGCTGATTATATTATCCATCGTACACTGTGTTAATCTTGTCTTTATTAACCTCATAACATGTTACATTACTATATTTACTAAATCAGTGACAGCCTACAAAGCATACCTGCATTAATCCTTATGCATATTCACCCACAGACACAGTTTGCTTTTAAAAATTTTATTTAAAACATTGTGCACAGTATGGTCTATGCCATGTTACACTCTGTTGTCAAATAGTCTCCTACAGCTGTTGTGGCGTAGCAGACATGAATGTTATCCCATGCATGAACGAAAATAAAGAATTCAAGAAGAAAAAAAAAATACAGTTAGAATGAAATTACATATATGTATACAATTTTTTTAAAAATGTAAAAAAAAAATTATTTTATTTTAATGTATGTATTATTTATTTTTTATAATATATATACAATATATACAGTTATATATATATATATATTATATGTGTGTAATTGTATTCTAAGGGTATTTTTATATTAATATATGTATACATTAATAAACAATACACTTAGTATGACATTATATTTATATATATATACATATATTATTTATTATTATTTATTACTAATATTTTTTTTATTTTACAGCAGCAGGGAGACTGCCTGTCTGTCCCTGCAGCAGATGCATGGACACCTATTGCGGCCATGTGACCGCTCTTTCCCGCTGGTGTTAAATTAAATTATTCTGTTTTCATTTTATTTTTTGGTGATACATATAGTTAGTACACATCTGTGTAGATAGTGTCACTTCATCAGATAGTGTAACTGAGACATCGGTTAGATGTATGTCAAAATAATAGTATACCTCTAAATTGAACCTATAGTTTCCCACAACTCTTGCTAAGACACTGCATATATAGGAGAGATCGCTGATTAGAAATTTGAGGTTTTATAATTAAAGGCAAGCTAAGGCAGGTTATAATAATTGATAAGTGTCTTTGTCAAGGCTAAAGAATGTCTTGTTAAAGGAGCACTATAGTGCCAGGAAAACAAACTCGCTTTCCTGGCACTATAGGGTTATTAGCCCCCCCCCCAACCTCGTGTCCCCCCTCCCGCTGGGCTGAAGGCGTTAAAACCCCTTCAGCCACTTACCTTTCTCCAGCGCTGGGCTCCCTCGGCGCTGGTGACCTCTCCTACTACTGCCGATGTCAGCACCGAATGCGCATGCGCATTCAAACCGTCCATAGGAAAGCATTATTCAGTGCTTTCCTATGGACGTCCAGTGTCTTCTCACTGTGATTTTTGCACAGTGAGAATCGCGGAAGCGGCCTCTAGTGGCTGTCAGGGAGACAGCCACAAGAGCAGGGATAGGCAACCTTCGGCACTCCAGATGTTTTGGACTACATCACTCATAATGCTCTTACACCCATAATGCTGGTAAAGCATCATGGGGGGTGTAGTCCAAAACATCTGGAGTGCCAAAGGTTGCCTATGCCTGCACTAGAGGCTAGATTAACCCTCAGTGTCAACATAGCAGTTTCTCTGAAACTGCTATGTTTTCAGCTGCAGGGTTAAAACTATGGGGACCTGGCACCCAGACCACTTCATTGAGTTGAAGTGGTCTGGGTGCCTATAGTGGTCCATTAAATATTGCTCAGAGTCGAAAAGTTACCAGGTCCAATTGATAGTGGAATAAAGACTTCCATGGGTGTTATAGCTCAATATTTTAGGCTGTTTTCAGGGTTTGGGAGCGAGGACCATACACCACACACTCTTGATAAAGTGTATACTACCAGTTTTTATTACTAGTAACCAAATACTACTCTTTATTACTAGTTTTTGTTTATACTCTCACCTCACTGTAAATACAGTTTAACCAGGGTCGTCTTTAACGCAGGACAAACGGGACAGCTGGCCAAAGCACAGTTACTCCTGGTGGCCCAAAGCAGCTGCCCCTTGGGCCCTGCTGCCCTCAACAATTTCTTTGTTTGCCTACATGTTCCTACACACCAAGTACACCCATCGGGTGGCCCATGCACTAAGGGCTACCCAGTGGACCATTATCAGCAGGGGCTTAGTCAGGCACTGGGGATCTTTAACAGCAAGACTGGGCCCCTTACTTATCGACATCCTAGGAGGAGGTGACGAGGAAGTCACTTCCTCCTGCAAAGGAGGAGAGGAATTGCACAGAAGAGAGGAAGGAAGCATGGAGAAGGGGGGGAGCTGGGCCAGGAGTGCTAGACCCCAACTTCCAACAGCCTCAGCCTCCAGTCTGGACATCGGGGAAAAACTCCCTCCATGGTAGGAAACGGGAGAGTGGGTTTAAAACTGTAAATTTTGCATGTGAATGTGTTTGTCAGTATATGTGTGTGTAACTATGTCTGTCAGTGTCTGTGTCAGTATGTCTGTCAATGTATGTGCCTGTGTGTGTGTCAGTATGTCTGTCAGTGTATGTGTCAGTATGTCTGTCAGTATATGTATTTGTGTGTCAGTATGTCTGTCAGTGTAGTGTGTTTATATGTGTGTATGTGTGTCTGTCAGTGTTTGCATCTGTATATGTATCTGCACGTGTGTCAGGTTGTGTATCTGTATGGGTGTCAGTGTGTGTATCTGTGTGTTGTCAGTGTATGTATCTGTATGTTGTCAGTATGTGTGTCAGTGTGTATATCTGTGTATGTATATGTGTATCTGCATGTGTGTCAGGTTTTGTATCTCTGTCAGTGTGTGTATCTGTATGACTGTATCTGTATGTGTGTCAGTGTGTGCAGGCCCGGACTGGCCATCGGGCATACCGGGCCTGCTGCTGTGTGCTTCCGTGGGCCGGTGGGGAGATCAAAGATCTCCCTCACCAGCCCAGAGGCATGGAGATGCGGCCGCCAGCTGGGGAGGGAGGGAGGCAGGGAGGAGAGAGAACCGGCAGAGCTCTAACAAGCAGCTCCACCGGGTCCTCTCGCGGGATTCTGAGCCACTCTCACCACTGGACCACCAGGGAAGGCAGCATGGCACCCCACCCCCCAGGCAGAACGGATCTCCTCCTCCCCCCTCCCAGGATAAAGGTAAGAAGGGAGGGGGGGATATAATTTTGTTTTTTTATTAATAAAAAAAATATATTTAAATTTAAATAAAAAATACATTCACTCACACAGACAGCACCCAGACACAGCACCCCCCAGACACACACAGCACCCCCCAGACACACACAGCACCCCCAGACACACACAGCACCCAGACACAGCCCCCCAGACACAGCACCCCCAGAAACACACAGCACCCAGACACACACAGGACCCCCAGACACACACAGCACCCAGACACACACAGCACCCAGACACAGCCCCCAGACACAGCACCCCCCAGACACATCCAGACACACACAGCACCCCCAGACACAGCACCCAGACACAGCACCCCCAGACACACACAGCACCCCCAGACACACACAGCACCCAGACACACACAGCACACCCCAGACACACACAGCACCCCCAGACACACACAGCAACCCCAGACACACACAGCACCCAGACACACACAGCACACAGCACCCCAGACACACACAGCACACCCAGACACACACAGCACACCAGACACACACAGCACCCCCAGACACACACAGCACCCCAGACACACACAGCACCCAGACACAGACAGCACCCCCAGACACACAGCACCCCAGACACAACACCCAAACTCACCCCATCCCCAGACACACACAGCACCCCAGACACACAGCACACCCAGACAGCAGCACCCCAGACACACACAGCACCCAGACACACACAGCACCCCACACACAGCACCCCAGACACACAGCACACCCAGACAGACACAGCACCCCAGACACACACCCAGACACACAGCACAGACACACCCCAGACACACACACACAGCACCCCAGACACACACAGCACCCAGACACAGACAACACCCCAGACACACACAGCACCCCCAGACACAGCACCCAAACTCACACAGCACCCCCAGACACACACAGCACACCCAGACAGACACAGCACCCCCAGACACACACAGCACCCAGACACACACAGCACACACATATATATATAAAATAACCCTCAGTGCGTTAACAAAAAAAAAAAATTATAAACCTAGAATGTGACAGCAGATAAAAACACCCTCACACACAGCACCCCTCTTGCATACATACACTGCGCCCCTCACACATACAATAAGTCCAAATATATATATATATATATATATATACATACACACACTACAGCACCCCTCACACTGCACCACTACACACATTACGCTCCAGATACACACTAGATCCCTTACCCTATATGCACTCTTAATCCTCTACACACACACACACACTGGGTCCTTTACACAGTAGATCTCCTACACACACACTACATTCCTTGTCAGCAAACACATACAACATTCTCTAAACACACCCTCTCTGCAACCCCTACACACACTACGTCACCTATACACACACACTTCAGCCCGTATGCACACACTCGCTGCATCCCCTATAAAACTATGCCCCCTATACACACACTCTCTACAGCCCCTAGCCACACATATTACACCACAAACACAAATTAAATTGACCTATTTATACAATACCACACCACACTCTACACACACGCAATCCCACAAGCAGGCTCCAAACATATGCACCATGCACTTTCCTGGCCCTTTTGTCCTCTGGTATCCCACTTGTGGAGACACCAGAGACAATTTAAAAGCAAACACAGCGCAAGCATGTTATTAAATTTGCTTGCGCTGCGCAGAACAAATTCAGGGCCTTTTTCTAATGCCAGAGCTCTTCAGCAGGGCTCTGGGCATTGAACCAACATGCTCACTTTGAGAGGGGGCGTGTTGTCATTAGTGATGACAAAACACACACTCTCTGGCCCCGCCCCCTTCTTAGGGGGCCGCTCTGATTGAAAAATGCCCGGGCCTAATTTTTTTCCCAATCCGGCCCTGAGTGTGTGTATAAGTGTATGTATATCTGCATGTGTGTCACTGTGTGTGTGTATCTGTGTGTGTGAGTGTGTGTGTACGTGTACATGTGCATATATCTCAGCATTCAAACGCCAACACTACATACAAACACACTCCTGCATTGAAAAGTCAACACTATATATAAACACACCTCTGTTTAAACACCAAAATTACATATAAACACACCACTACATTCAAAAACCAACACGTAATTACATACTTGCCTATAACCACCAATAAGATATACAAAATAATGTGCAACAAACTGCAACACTCAAACTTAAATAGGGTACCACAAAAAAATAAAATACAAGTGAGTACACTCAAAGATGTATTAGCACACTCCAAATTCTAATGCCATAGGAAAAAACAACTAAAACGGGAGTGAGCTAATGGGAGGAGTCAAACTAGAGCGTACAAATGTCATAGACTGGATCTAAATATATATTGTGTAAGGGGCAAATAGCCGTATATGGAGTAAGGTTCCAGCATAAGCGTAGGATAGTATAAAGGGAGCAAGTCGGTCTTGGTGTGCCGAGACCGACGATACGGTAGGCCTGTAAATAAAGAGGGCCCACCAAGGAGTAAGAAAGTAAAGTAAATGGAAAGAAAAGAGAAAGTGTTGAAATGAGGAGTGGGTGGGAGGGTCATTCTGATGCTGACCTCAAGCGATATGGAGTCAGGTAAGGGGTGTCCCTTATATAGGGGAGTGAATTAATGTAAGCCCCTCCCACAAATACAGGCCAAACGGCCTTAATACTTGTGTAAGGGGCAAATAGCCGTATATGGAGTAAGGATCCAGCATAAGGGTAGGATAGTATAAAGGGAGCAAGTTGGTTGTGGTGTGCCGAGACCAACGATACGGTAGGCCTGTAAATAAAGAAGGCAAAAATGAATAATCAAAGATTTAATACAGTCAACAAATATATAAAAATTAACCAGACATTTCTTTAAATGCATTACAGTATTTAATTCCTGGAAGGATTTTGAAGGTAGGAATCTAGGACCGCAACTGGACACATCAACATAAAAAGTGGGTGAAAGAACACCCCAAGAGGGTGACAGTAGTAAAATAAAAAGTAAAAGAATAGTGGATGCATGAAATTAAATAAGACCAAGCTACTCGCAGAACGGCGCTCAATCAATGGACATAGAAAAGTATATGGATAATAAATAAGCTGGCACAAAAAGTCAGAGTCAACAATGTAAACTGTGGGGGCCCCCCTTGATAAATGGTTTGTGCTTACATTCAAACACACAAACACAGCCCAGTGCTAAATACAACCCTGCAAACATGGGAATATAGTAGATTTAGGACACCCTTGAGATATGGGTGCCCAAAAAAAACCTTGCACCTCTACTTTAGTTCTGCCACTGCGTTGGGGGTGAGGGTGTGATTGCATGCCAGGGAGTGTGTTGGGGGTAGGGTTCAGGGGGCACAAGGAAAATGCTTTACCCAGGGTCCAATCAATATTAAAGATGGCGCTGAGTTTAACATTATATTGAA